CCTGCCTAAGCAGGGTCTTCACAAACTCGAATTCAGTTCCGAAGTATGCTGAGGTCTCACGCACGAACACGTGGAAGTTTTGTCGCAAAAACTGCTCGAAAGCTAGAAAATTTGGAGACTGAAATTGTGGACGGATATTCACCCTTCGAGATTTCAAATTCAGCTTTCACGTACCGGTGCTTGAAATTTTTAGTGGAAAATTCCGCAACTTAGGAAGCGGACAGCATTTCAACTATTTTTGCCCAGGCCAAAGTACAAAGCAGTGAAAATGATTAGCAGGCAATCGTTCGGTGGACGGAATTGCACAAAACGCATGATCTCACCGGCTGCTCTGCTGCGCGTCGCTACTTATTTTCTTTGAAGCGCGATGGCGCTGGTAAGTAACTCAAATGATTGTATCCAGTTGCACCGTCCTGCTGGCGAAATTGTTCACTGGGCTTCTTGGCACAAGCTGAAGGCTGTTTTATTTCCTTTTCTGCTGTTGATCAAATGATATATGAAGAAATAAAGGACCAGTCTAAGTAACATGTGCAGGAAGAAATGTTAGGGTGCAGTCTGTGTTCATCCCTGTTTTTTCACTGGTGTGCTTGAACTCGAGCTGGCACCGTTGTCTGCCAAGACAACTTCTTTAGCGTTTATTCAGAAACCGAACATGAAAATTAATTCAGAGCGACGTTTGATCCACGGGACGAACTGGTGCTGAACGATGGTATATTGTGGGATCTGCGAATGGGCACTGAATGCGTTCACAAATTTGACAGGCTGAGTGCTAACGGCTATGGCGTGTTTCATCCGCACGGGAATGAAGTCATTTTAAATTCTGAAGTGGTCAGTTTGAAATTTTGTCTCGATTCCCTGCGTTTCTCTTACTCAGAACCGATATATTTGTTAAAAATGAAGACTGAATTGCCACTTAGTTTTACTCTTCAGAAAAATGCATATTTCTAGACGCTTTTTATCATTTTTAGTGGGACGTTCGGAACTTCAAACTATTGCACAGCGTCAGTGCACTCGACCAGTGTGCGATTGTATTCAGTGGTGGTTCACATGTTATATATGCGGGTAAGCATAACCAATTTTTAGAATTATTGTAGTTTGTCTCTAGTCGGGTTTGCTGTACTGTATAAATTCGGAACACCCGCATTTTGCTCGGTTGTAGAGGGAAGGCAGCTGGAAATGGCCCGAGTGTTAATGTTTTGTCAGCAGCAGCAGTGATCAGGGATGTGTTTTGTGAATTTTGCATGAGTGAAGGCGACTTGTCTTTTTGGA